AACATTGAAAAACTCATAATCTTCCAACAATGCTTCTTCATAAAAGCACTCTTGTTCCTTGACAGGCACTCTACCTTACCCGCTCTTCTTTCTTTAAGAACGAAGACCTCGGCTCCCAAAACACAAGCATCATCAATGAGATAGCCATTGGAAGCAACAGAAAATTCTTTCAGAGGGATAACTCTATCGAAACCCACTTGGAGCATCGCCCCGTGCAAGCACATCTTGTTCATATTAGCATCTGATAAGCAAGAAAAATCAATAGATCATGAGCAATGCAAGTGCAACACAAGAAGTCTATATCTGCTGGATGGTTGCATGAGAATTAACTCCAAACAGATAGAAGATGTATAATGAATATATACCATGAAGAACCAAGTAGGTTCCCATATTCTGATCAAGCAAAAACAATCTAAAATCAACAGATACTTCCGAACCAATCTGAAGTGAATTTGCTTCGGCCAATTTTAAGTAGACAGAGATGTGGTCTTCTACATTCTTCTTTGTGTTTCCATTTGGGTACACCACTAGTTTCCTGCAGTGAGCAAACATTTATATATAAAAAATACAATAATGCCTCTTATAGCATCTCCACAGGAGATGTTAAATCCAATGTGGTACTTTTAGCATGTAGAAAAGATAATTGAGACTCTCTCCAACCGAAATGTTAAATCCTATATGACAGAACATTTCTCTCTCATGCTATTATTTTTGGATGTTTGACTTTGTGATGTTTTTAATTATTTAATTATTTCTTTTTAATTAATATGCCTAAAAAGCAATAGACCAATAATAAAAAAATATTTTAATTTGACATATTGGGTGGAATGTGAAACTCTATTATATGTTAAATTGCCACATAAGCCATCAAATTCAAATTTTACATTTGATATTTCCATTGGAGATGCTCTTACCACAATCCTGTACCATCTTCGCTGAGTTAGAAACGCCATGTGATTGAATTTGAGTTACAAGTTTTAAGTTAGAACAGTTTCCTTTAAAAATCTTATGTGGCAGTTGAATTGAACACACCAGGTCATTGAATTTGAGTTACAACACGTTTCCTTTTAAAAATTAATAATAAATGTTCTCCCCAATCTCCTCCCTCCCGCTTTTCACCCCCTCCCCCATTGGCGACCAGTCCAAACTGCATTGGCACTCTCGTACAACAGAAAAATTGAAGAAAACAAAAGGCTGCAAGTCCAAATTACTACAATGGCACTCTTCGGACTCAAGTGATATTTTGAATATATGATCTTTGAAGGAATATTTACAAGATGGACGTTTCAGATTATTGAAATACTATGCGAATAGACCCTACAATATTACAAGGATGTTAAGGGATCCCTCAACAGAAACTTTATGTATATCCAAGGTATATTATCTACCCTTGTGCCAATTGATATATATATATATATATATATATTGGTTATAAAATTAGAAGGATAAAATGGTGTTTTTTATTTTTCATTTTTTAATCCAGAAAAATAAACATTTACTATATTATCCTTATTTATTTAATATTTTCAATTCTTAGTATTATCATTAACCAACGTGGTATTTTTTGGTATTTTGAATGTTTCACAATTCTCTACCACACAAAACGTGAAAAGGAAGAAAATAATTAAGAAAACATATACCATTTGTATCCTCCAGCACCAAACTCCCCAGATTCATATGTATCCACTGAAATTTCAGTTAGCATCGAGAATGACTCTAGTTTTAGAGAATAATGTGTTGGTGGTGAATTTGAAAGTGAACTCGAAAGTCCTGGGAAAAAAAAAATTCATAAAATTTCAATTACATAGCGGTTAGAGTAAAACGCAAAATATAGAGAGACACAGAAAGTGGCTTACCATCTTGGGCCATGGCAATAAAATTGACCAACGAATTTATTTTTCTGAGGATAAACAGCGACCCTTTACTTGAAGAAGACTATATTGACTAATTGTAACACAAAACAAGAGATGGAGTGAGTGGGGCTGGCGTGGGGGGAGGATATACAACTAATTGAAACATATATGTTTGAAATATGTGTAGAGGTTGTGTCTTTATTATGCGTTTAAACTCCATATTTATAAGGGTCTTGACCTATGCCATCAGCATCTCAACATGGACAATGTTTTCATGGCATCCAAGTTGGCTCTTGAATTACTTACCCTTTCATAAAAGTAAGCCCCTTGATACTTATCTTTTCCCAAAAGGGAACAATAGATGTAAAATTGAAAAATAGAAGATTGTACTGTTAATATATTCTTTAAGAGAAACAAATAATTTAATTTCTTCCTTTAACAAGCTTCAATAGGGAGTTATCCTATCCAATCCAATTCTATGCACCAAATGAGTTCCAAGTTTAGAATCATACTTTTACTTTTTTCTTTGAACCCAATTTAGTTGTAAAATAGAAAACCCTTTCTGATACTTTTACCTTGTATTGAATTGTCGGCAAAGTAAGTTTGTTGGTCAAGTTTATTTCATAGCGACCAGTCTTAACTTTGATGACCAAGATGGTAAGATGCTGCCAACGAGGTTTAGCCCAGTGAAAAAGGGCATTGACTTGTAAACAAGAGGTCTCAGGTTCAAACCTCCATGACATTATTTGTGTGTGTATGAGAAATCCCCCTTACCTAGTTTATGTTGACGTGACTTGTGGACCATTGACTTTCTTTCCTTACACACCAAGGATTCCCATTATAATTATATTTGATTTACTTTAATTCCTAATTTCCTACTGTAAATAGAAATATGAATTTATTATTTACTTGCCCATTAAAGTTCCGTTGTATTATAAATATGACCTCCTACAAGAAGAAGAATACAAAAAAAATTCCCACAAACAAATATTCTCTCATAGTTATCATATTTTAGCATGGTATCAGAGCGGCGATCTTGGAATTGCTAACTCTAGTTTCCAATCCCTGCCACCGCTATGGGGGTTGATGATTTTTTGAACCCTCATGGAGGTAGCACCATTGACTCCTTCTCTCCTTCTCAACCAACCATAGTTGAGTTGAGTGCCCAGGTGGCTTAGCTCCTACAGACTTCGACCCCGAACCCGATCCTGAATCAGGATCCTATTTTGACGACCCCGATCCTAACTACGATGACGACCCCGACCCAGACTACGACGACGACGACGACCCCGACCTTGACCCCAAATCTGTCTGTGATTCAGACCCAAATCCCGACTTCGACACCAACCCCGACTCAAGCTCAGATCCCAATCTGAATTCCTACTAAACATGTATCTTATGCATCTTCCGCTGCACAAATTATGACTTCCCAATTAACGACCCCAACACATGGACGAGATTGCGCATACTATGGTGATCCGAGACACACTCGTGAGACTTGTTTTAAATTGCATGGCTACCCTGAATGGTGGGCTACTCTCAAAGATCGAACACAACCTGATACGACCCATAATGATATTGGTTATGGATTCCATACTTCGGATAAGAGTGATTCCATGAGCTGGATAATTGATTCCGGTGCAACTGATCATATGACGCTTGATTTTGATGATTTTCTGAATACTACCCAACCCCAACGAACTTGTATTGCTACTGTGACAGGGGCTGGCACTGTTGCACTCTCATCCTTTTCTCACTGTCTAATACTTTACTTGTTCCATCTTCATCCAATAAATTGATGTCAGTTTGTCAGCTTACTGAACAATTGAATTGTTGTGTACTCATTTATCTGAGTTTTTGTTTGCTTTAGGATATTCACACTAAGGAGATTCTTGGTCGTGGTACTAAGAGAGGAGGGATATATTATGTAGATGACTTCAGTCTCGGCATGGCTAACAGTGTGAGGCATCCCTTTGATAGCAAACAAAAGCAAATCTGGTTGTGGCACTGTCGATTGGGACATCCGTATTTTAGTTATATCCAGATTTATTCTCAGGTTTCAAGGACTCTCCAACTTCACATGTGATACTTGTATTTTGGCCAAGAGTCACCGTGTGCCCTATCCGTTGAGTTCGAACAAATGTACTACTCCGTTTACATTAATTCACTTTGATGTCTGGGGACCTTCACCTATCACTACTCCTTCTGGCGTTCGGTGGTTTGTCACATTCATAGATGATTTTACACGGATGACATGGCTTTATTTGCTGAAGAATAAAAACGAAGTGTTTTCTTGTTTTCAGTCCTTCCACAAACAGATGAAAACTTAGTTCAATGCTCAAATACAGATTCTTCGCTCAGACAATGGTGGAGAATTTGTCAATCATGACTTTTAGGCTTACTTCCAACAACATGAAATTATCCATGAGACGACTTGTCCTCAGACACCACAACAAAATGGTGTTGCTGAACGAAAGAATCGACATCTTCTTAAAACCGCCCGAGCACTTCTGATTGGCGCTCATGTTCCTCGCCATTACTGGGATGATGCTATTGTCATTGCAGTTCACCTGATCAACTGCATGCCTTCTAATGCATTGACCTTTAAAACTCCCTTACAAGTGCTTGCGCAAGACAGACCCCTACCCTATGTTTTGGTACTCACACCCCCAATGGAGCTCGTTCTCTCTTCTATGGTGCTCCATAACTTTAATAACAAGAGAAAAAAAAAGGTTCATACAATCCGACCAAAATTGCACCAAATCTTATATTGCTTATAAATGTACAGTAGTTGAAATAAAGTGGTTGTAGGCCAATGGTGCTCGTTGTTAATGTTAGAATTTTAGAGCGTGTTTGCTTGGTTTGTAGGCGAAGGGGTTTAGGAAGTATAGGACAATAGTTAAATAAAGTGATTTTATTAATTTGGAGGAGAATTGACTTCCACATGCATATCCAAATTATATGCAAGAGTAACTTATGCAGGGAAATGTAGTAGAAGAATTGCGCATGAAGGGAAATGTTTTTAGAAATCTATTCTGAAGCTGGAGGGTACAAATGGTTAGAATTTATTCTCTTATTTCCTAGACAAACTTCTTATATCTCTGTCTTTTCTTATAATCCTTAATATTAATTGTGGGTTTGCTACAGGAAACTTGTGTTCTATCCAAATGGAAACAAGAGCAGGAATGTGAAAGAGCACATCTCTCTCTACTTGGTAATGTCTGGTGCAGATGCTACCCAGATTTCTCGGGAAGTGTATGCTGTTTTCAGGTTGTTTTTACTTGATCAGAATAAGGGCAACTACTTGGTTCTTCAAGGTACCATTTACTTCCATTAGTTCATAGAACAGATAAGCGTATGTTTCTCATATCTGCAATGCATTGTCTCATTTTCTGACATTTTTTTTATATGACATCGCTTAGAACAAAGGCGCTTCCACGGCATGAAGCTTGATGGGATCTTTGATCAGTTCCTCTCTCAGAAAGCTTTTACTGAAGCTTCCAATAGATTTCTCATAGATGACACCTGTGTGTTTGGAGCAGAGATCTTCGTTTAATTGTTAAGAGAGAAGTACAGGCAAAGGAGAGTCTCTATCAATGATAAAAGATGCCACGCATGTTTGGAAAATTGACAACTTCTCAAAGTTAGACGTGGAATTCTACGACTGAAAAAGATTCATGATGAAAAAAAGCAGGCAAGCAAGCAATGCAAAAGGATCATCATATCACGGAAAATGCAACAGAAGCAGAGCTCTCTGTTTTTCTAATACATTATATAGTAAATTGAGCTTAACCCCTTCAAAGTCATTTTTTCTCAACTGCAACCCATCTTTTTAATTTTGTTTGAATAAAATCCTTTTTTTTTCTAAATAAAACCCGATGACTTGGGATCCAACTTGGCAAGTTACCAAATCAGGCATAAAATCAAATTTATTATACTTTTTCGATTCCTAAAATACCCCAACTAAGCCTTTATTGTATTTTGTATATTAGGAATCAATATAGAATCAAATTTTAATTGGATTGTAACTAATAACACACATTGAATTTGGAAAGATCTCCAAATTGATGTAGGAATTAATTTGGAATTTTTTTTAAAAAATTTAAGAATAAATTTAGATTCAACATACCTAATTTATTTAATAAAAAATGTTTTTTTTTATTTACTTATGAAGTGTACGTGATTAATTACCCATTATATTATTGTTTTATAAATATAATAGCATACATACAATTTTATGTTGAAAAAATAACATACCTATTCTTTTACGAAAAATAATTTACCTAGTATGAATTTACTTATTTTTCAAATAATATATCCAACTTTATAAATGCATTTTGGATATAATTTACCTAATAATTTCCTATTATGCAATAATATAACTTGTAATTTAACTACCCGTATTGGATATATACAAGACAAGTAAATTTATAGGTATTGTATTGATAATAATTTACCTATTATATTTTATTGGTGCAAAAATTGAGGAATTTTTTAGAGTGCTACTATTTCCACCCACCTGTCCTATTTTCCCACCCACCTTATCTTTCCACCCACCATTTAAATTTGAAAAATACACAATCCTATCTTTCCACCCACCAGTATTCCCAAAATATCCTTTAATTATTAATTCAAGGCAAATTCTCTCAAAAACCCAACTTATATCTGTTCTACTTCCTGACCCGTATTAAGGGAAACCCCCCTTTCTTTTCTCCAAGCCGATTGTGGTTCTTTCAAGAGTTCATCCCTCTTTCTCATCCTGGAGGAGGTGACACATGGGCTTTGTGATGAGAGGGGTTGTGTGCGGTAGAAGAGGGGATTTGGGTATTTATTTTCTTTTAGGTCTGCTTTAATTTCTTATTTATTTATTTTATTTTAATTCAAATGTGGTTGAAGAACATGAAGTTGAAGCATGGGTTCGAATGCTTATGGTCCCCAGGCTCCCTATCATGTTGATCTCCCTCAATCAAATAATACCAATCGCTTGTTGTTTGAAGCAAATGGACGAAAATAAAAAAACTTCATGACATAAAATTTCATGACATCTTAAAAGGACAATAGGAGCCTTTGAAGGGAAAATTAATTTTGCCCACATTTGTTTCGCAGAGAAAATGATAGTGCCTTTGAGAGAAATCAGATTTATGATGGAAAAATAGTAAAACTTTTGGAAGCTTTTAGAAAACAGAGAGATGGCTAGATGAGGAAGAAGAAGTTGTGTGCAATATGCGGGTCAAGAATTTAAGTTAATAAAAGGCTCTATGTATCGTGAGATTAATCCAATGGCTGGTATAAAATGGTTGCTCACACTTAGGTGAGGGAGCTTGGTTTTGTCCTTAAGTCCCTAGATGTCATTTTACAAATGGGTAAATTTGTCTCTAAAATTTTAAAAATAAGGTGAGTGGGAAAATAGGACAGAGGGGTGGAAATAGCAGCACTCATTTTTTATTGGTCTAAAATTTAATAATTTTTTTATTGGTTGAAAATTTAAGGAATTTTTTTATTTGTCAAAATTTTAGGGATTAGAGGGAATGCTAAAAAAAAACCTGAGTCATTGATATGCTATAAATGAGGGACTTAATGACATGCTTGAAAACCGTTAGGTTGACTTATTTGAAATATGGTGGCAAACAATGTAAATATGTAGGAGTACTATGACCTTTTATATATTTTAATTTGAATTTGGGTTTAAAATTAATGGATTGATACCTAGGAAATAGACATTTTAGGGGCCTATGTTAGACCAGCCCTTTATAATCTCAGTTTTTTCTCTTAGCATAAGAAACCTTGACCTTGTAGAATTTGTAAGCAACATAAATTAGAATTCGTCATCTTTGAAAGAAAGAAGATGCATAGCCATGTCCGTAATCTGTTCCTTTCTTCCCCGGTTTCTACCATCTACAAACACATGAAGCTGAGTAAGTAATTCATATGCTACTTAACAATAATGCAACAACGATTCAATGTTGTTCGGTTGATAAGAATCTGCAATTTGGTCAATAAAGCATGAGTCAGGTGCCCATATTACTGACCAAACTGTTTGGTCACTAATGTATTATAAACGAAAAGAAATTGAAAAACTTATTACTATATTACATGCTTCTGTTTGGTATAGCAAGTTTGGAACTATGGCCGGTATATATTACGTTACGCACCTCAGGAACATATAAGAGTTACATGTCACATTTTCCTCTCTTTGACTAGTACAGCTCTCCCCATCTGGACCATCTACTTTGTACTGAATTGGAGGCAGGAGATAGCTTTTCTGGATTAGCTAATCTTAAGTAAACAAAAACATGAGTATTCTTTACATTGTCATCTCCATTATATGTCTGCCTTCCTGCAGTGAAACGTTCTGATTCCAAGCATTGGGATTTTAACATTTGAAAAATTATCAAATCTTCCAACAATGCTTCTTCTTCATAAAACCACTCTTGATCCTTGACAGGCACTCTGCCTTGCCCGGTCTTCTTTCTTTACAAACGAAGACCTCAGCTCCAAAAACACAAGTATCATCAATGAGATAGCCATTGGAAGCAACAGAAAATTCTTTCAGAGGAATAACTCTATCGAAACCCACTTGGAGCATCGCCCCGTGCAAGCACATCTTGTTCATATTAGCATCTGATAAGCAAGAAAAATTAAGAGATCATGAGCAATGCAAGTGAAACACAAGAAGTCTATATCTGCTGGATGGATGCATGAGAATTAATTCCAAACAGATAGAAGATGTATAATGAATATATACCCTGAAGAACCAAGTAGATTCCCTTATTCTGATCAAGCAAAAACAATCTGAAATCAACAGATACTTCCCAACCAGTCTGAAGTGAATTTGCTTCCGCCATTTTTAAGTAGACAGATATGTGGTCTTCCACATTCTTCCTCGTGTTTCCATTTGGGTACACCACCAGTTTCCTGCAGTGAGCAAACATTTAAAATAAATAAATACAATAATGCCTCTTAGAGCATCTCCAAGGGAGATGTTAAATCCAACATGGTGCTTTTAACTTGTAGAAAAAATAATTGACTCTTTTAAACCGAAATGTTAAATCCTATATGGAGTAACATTTCTCTCTCATGCTGTTATTTTTGGATGTTTGACTTTGTGATGTTATTTCATTATTTAATTAATGTGCCTGAAAAGCAATAAATCAATAAACACTATGTAATAAAATAATATTTTAATTTGACATGTTGGGTGAAATGCGAAACTCTATTATATGTCAAATTGTCACATAATTAAGCCATCAAATTCAACTTTAACATTTGATATTTTCCTTGGAGATGCTCTTACCACAATCATGTACCATCTTATGTGACAGCTGAAGTTGGAAATGCCATGTCATTGAATTTGAGTTACAAGTTTTAAATTAGAACACGTTTCCTTTAAAAATCTTAAGCAGTCTTAAAAATCTTATGTGGCAGCTGGTTATTTTAATTGATTGCTTATTTTAAATTTTGACAAATGAATATGGTGATATATGTTTTGTGGAATAAGCTAGCTATAAAGACTGCATATGATATCTATTCATGAAAGTGTCAAGACTGTTTTTGCAGGAAGAGGTTACAAAATCTCATAAGGAGGACTGAGATGAAATGACATTAAAACACATTTGGAGTAAGTCATGTTCATCTTTTGGTTCTAATTCAATGGAGTCTATGTGATAATAAAATCTGTATGTGTAACTATATAAAGATCTTGGGTGACTTAACTCAATACATCTTGATAGTTCCATGCAGTTTTTATTATTGACAGGGACTTGTTAAGGAACAATTCAATTCTTTTTGAGTTCAATGGCCATACAGAAGTCATACAAGAGGCTTTGATGATTATTTGACCAAGTGGGAGAATGTAAGATATTTTTATGTCTTAAACCACTCAAGTGTGGTCTTCTAAACATCATAGGAGATCTAAGTCTTTGTATTGACTAAAAACTTGATTAGAATTGGCGTTTTGGTTCTAAGGGAAGTTGTGTTTTACAGAAATCCTTGTTCCAACAGATTCCTTATGTGTAATAGATTAGAACATCTTATTCTATTGCAATTAGGTTAGTTCTTGTTTTCCTTCATGGGCAAGGAGACTTGAGCTAATGCATATAAATACCAAGTCCCTGCTCAGTCGATAATAAGCTTGAAAGCATTTGATCCTTATCTAGAATGTAGCATAAGGTATCGATCTGAGGAGAAGAACTTGGTTACTCTTTGTTCAATTATCACGGCAACATCAATGGCTCATGATCAAAGTTAGTGTTTTAATATATGCAGCCTATCTAGTTTTACATATGGTAATTGCAATAGAGGGTTCATCACATAGCACCCTTTATTGAAATGAACTAAATCACACCATTGCAAGTAAGATTTTACTGTTTTAGTTCAATTTCATGGAATAAAATTGCATTAATCCTAACCATTGCAGATGCTCTAAGTTATGCATGTTTCAATGCTTGCCGTCTTCTATTGGACTGATTAATCCACATATGCCGATTAATGCACCATTATTTATTGATTAATTGCTTTTTACCTTAGCTAGCTAATTTCCAAACCACTATATATGCTAGCGTGAATTTTCTTCTTGTTCTCGTAGGTTATTAATCGTTTGTGTTCTGGGGTCTCATTTCATCCAAGTGCTAAAACTGCTAAAAAACGCTTGCAAATTTGAAGAACCCTCCTTCACTGAAATGCTTATATGTTCAAAAGCTCAATATAAGCCTGCTTATTTCTTCGGAACAAACCACTGGTTTTTTTCATCTGAATCATCATCTCTAATTGAAAATCATTAAAATTTGAAAAATGATTTTTTAAAAAGAAAAGATAAATAAAGAATTCTGGGTTTTGGGTGCAGGGCAATGGGGTGGGTCTCGGGTGGGATGAAGCTGGGACTGGGAGATGGTGTCAGGTTTTGTTTACCCAATGTTTTTAGCTCTCCTTGACAAACATGTAATCTCATATATGTATGATCAAGCCCACAACCACCACCAACTCAAAGTTATGAATCTAGTGCTACTAGATTAACTAGTGAAGCTAGTAATGCTAGTACCACTAGCATGGATGGAGGGGGAAGGAAAAGAAGCATCCATGACTTTTGAAGTGGTGGAAATTGAATTGGGTTAAATATCCAGGGTTGTCACTTATTGCAAAGGATGTACTTGCCATCTCAGTATCAACAGTAGCTTTGGAATCAAATAGGCTTTGGATGTTAGCACTAGGGGTGGTTGCGGTTCGGTAACCGCGAATTTTTTCCCAAACCGCAAAAAGCGGTCGGTTACCGTGAATTAGCGGTTTAAAACCGCAAGTTCTTTTTGTGTCATAAAAATCCAATCTTCCACATTTTAGGCCTAATTTTGATACTTCTTTTGAAGCCTTTTGAGTTCAAGCATACTTTAACCCAAAAATATAAATTACAACCTAAAGAAATAAATTCACAATCTCAACTTCTCAAGCATATATAAATTCACAACCTCCTCCACTTCTCAAGCATTCACAACCTAAAGAAAATTAAAGTTACAATTCCAAGCATTCCAATTAAAGTTAAACTTCTCAAGCATTCACAACCTCAACTTCTCAAGCATTCCAATTCCAAATCCTTTAAAGTTACAAACCGAAAGGAAAATGCAATGCAAAATGAATTAAAGTTACAACCCAAAGGAAAAATCCAATTCAAAGTTAATTAAAGTTACAAACTAAAAGGAAAATGCAATGCACCAATGTTACAAACTCAAGTGTTGGTGGTGGTGAGTGGATTTGAAGGACCCCGTTGTGTTGTTTGAGCACCAATGCTATCTACAAATAAAACAACATAAGTTTAGTACATTTTATTATAAGAAGAAGCATAAATAACATAAGCATAAATAAACTAATTACTTACAAGTTGTCATATGTTCCATTTCCTTGTATAATTTTTTTTATAAAAATATAGTCGCGGTTTGCGGTAACCGCGAGTTTTGAAAATCAAATACCGCAACCGCAACCGCAACCGCAAATGCAGTTCAGTTTTTCATACCGCAAATGGGGTTCGGTTTCCGGCGATTGCTGTTCCATTGCGGTAAATTGTCGGTTGGTTTTTGCGGTTTTTCGGTTTTTCAGTCTAAAATGCCACCCCTAGTTAGCACCGAAAAACCAAAAAAGATAGAAAAAGAAAAGGCTTAGGCCAAAATCGAGAATCGGGTAGAATCAGACCGGAACCAAACAGGTCCGAATTGGTTAGGTTCCTTTAGCCATTTTAATGAAGAATTGGACCGAACTGGACCGGATGAAGAAGGAATCACAAGCCTATTCCAATTGAAAGCCCAACTCCAAGAAAAAGTCAAAAGCCTACTCCAATTAAGAGCCCAACTCGCAAACGGAGCCCAACTCAAAGAAGAAAGCCCAGATGCAGTTGGAGAGTCCCAATAAATATTTCTCATATCATTCATGCCTCACAAGGGCCATACAGAAGCTAGCGGGCATTTGTGGGAACACATATTTCACTGACCAAAAAGGAGATGACACATGAAAAAATAATCAAAATAATCTTTGATTTAAGATAGGAATATCTACCTAAATCAAGGAATCAATTTCCACCAAATCCCTTGGAGTAATTCCTATCATTTTTTTGGGAAAGAATAATCCTAACCAAATAAGGATTATTCTCCCAAAACCTTAGCACACAAGGAGACCATAAATACATGGCTACACAAAGCATTCAAGGTAATTCTAAAACCCTAGACCTATACAAATTCCTCACTCTCTCTCTCTCGCCGCTCCTCTCACTCTCTCTCATCACACGACTAAGTGCCACCACACACGGCTCCGACCACTCGGCTCTAGCCATGAGAGAAAACTCCAAACTTTCTGTTATCTCCGCATCTTTCTCATTTAACTGACTTAGGCATCGAACGACCTTTGGTCAACACCCCCAAGTGTGGTCTATTTACTCCTATTTATTTTGCACGGATCAAGGAAGAGAGAGAATGAAGATTGAAGATCGAGAAATCAACCCGCGAATATTCCCCGTGAGGAATTTTGCTCAAACACAATCCAACCTAAATTGCACCAAATCTGATATGGTTGACAAATATACGTTTGTTAATGTTAGAATTTTAGAGTGTGTTTGCTTGGTTTGTAAGCGAAGGGGTTTAGGAAGTATAGGACAACAGTTGAAACAAAGTGGTTTTATTAATTTGGAGGGTAATTGGCTAACACATGCATATCCAAATTATGGAAGAGTAACTATGCAGGGAAATGTAGAAGAAGAATTGCACATGCAAGGAAATGTTTTTAGAAATTTATTCTTAGCCTGAACCAGAAGCCAAGCCAAGTCATATAGTTACCAAGTACTGACAGTGAAAATGGTGATCGTTTAAGTCCAGAATGTTGTTGCATTGGAATAGATTTGGAAGCCACCAACACAGATGTGCGAGCAAAAATTCTGGCTTCCAATCGAACTAACTTAGACATCGTAATTATTTGGCAGGAATCAAGGAAAAGAGAGAAGGAAGCTCAAAAGGTGAAGAATCTACATGCGAATATTCTCCCGTGATAAATTTACACAAACAATAGACATGAAAGAAGAAAATTATCACAATGAATGCGGAATCCATTTGCACAAATAACCAGAGCAATAGTTATCCTAATCGTTTGAAAAAAGTATATGGAAGTCGATGATTGCACAGCTTGTTGTGAATTGAGCACAAAACTCAACTCACCCTCCCCTAATGATCTTGTTGTTGATGGACTTTGTGACACACACAATGATGGATGAATCACACACACACACACATGAGACAACAACCAAGCACAAAGTGACACAAGAATTTATAGAGGTTCAGCAATTGCCTACATCCTCTTGGTGATCCCCTTGAGAAATTCACTTCATGAAAGAATAAGTTACAACTTTGGTTTTACACAGAAAAACCCCCTTAGAACTCTATTCTCTCCCCAAGCTCTCTTTTCTCTCACACCCCTTGCTCAACACTTTGATGCACTTGTGAACTGATAAGTGCATTATTTACTATATTTTTATATCTCTTTTATTTGGTTTTTGTAGGGAAAGTTAATTTAAAATAGCATTATTACCTTACTTTCCTTATTTTCAGCTATTCTGCACTCTTGGAAGGATTTCGACTGAAAATCGACTTTTCAAATGAATTTTAGCGCAAGGCCAATTGGAGAAGAAAGCTAAGACATTGAAGATCATTGTATCAAAGTTTCATAATTTTCTACCAAGCCAAATGCTCCAGACTTGCAAGTCAAGACAGCCTAAGTTGAAATTCCGTCAAAACTGCACTGCTGTGGAAGATTGAAGATTTGAAGACCTTTCCGATTTTTCCTAGTGGCGTGTAATATATGCCTGGAAAGCTTAGACATAAAGCTACGTTTCTCATATTTTTCCAGAATTTTCTAGGAAGTGGAATGACCCCAAAGTGTACGTGCAAGTTGGCTGACGTGTTTCCAAGTCAAAGAAGGATTCTTTCCTAATTTGTTTCCTTAATTGTTTGGGATTTTGTTTTGCTTTAGGAGAGTTTTTCCAGACCTTTTAAGAGTAGGGTTTAGTTGTTTTACACTATATAAGATCACCCTAAGGATCTCTTTAGATCATCCTCCCATATACCATATTTTTCCACCAACATTCATACACCCAGAGAAACATCAGAGAGAGCCAAGGATTTGCTGCTAC